GAAATGCACACTGCCCCTTTAAGTAAGCTGACCCACTCTTAAGTGCATTGTCTTTTTAAGTCAGTGGTCCCCAACCTTTTCCGGTTGGCGGGAGCTGGACGACGAGCTACCGAGGACCAGGGCCAACAGACAATCATCCGCTGAAATGCCGCCGAGAAGCGACAACGTCAAGAGGCGTCCCCTCCGAAATGCCGCTGAAAAATGATGACGCCGCTTTTCGGCGGATGCTTGTCCGCCGGCCAGTACACGGGCACACACAGATGCCCTGGTGGGCGCCTCGGCACCCACAGGCACCATGTTGGGAACCTCTGTTTTAAGTGGATCAGGAAGTTGAGACAGCAGCTGCTGCCCCAAGCTCTCTATGTCTCTCTCTCCATCCCCTCCCTGCTCTATAAGCAGGATGTAGGAGCCGGGGGGAGTGGGACACCCTGACATTATCCCCTCCCTCCTTCCCCCCCCCGCACAGCAAGCAGGAGTCTCTGGGAGCAGCTCCAAGGCAGAGGGCGGAGCAGCACATGGCAGTGGGGGGGGAGCGACAGATGAACTGCCTGCAATTGATAGCCTGCTGGGCGGCTGCAGCACAGGGAACTTAGGGGAGCTGATAGGTGGCTGCCTGTCCACCCTGGTTACAAGCCCCCACCAGCTAGCTGCAATGGGCTGCTCTTCCTGCAAGCAGTGGACAAAGCAGGCAGCTGCCAAACGACTTTAGAAGGGAGCATTGCACAACTTTAAACAAGCACGTTCCCTAATTGATCAGCAACAACATAACAATGAAACAAGTTAACCGGGACGACTTTAAGTGAGGAGTTACTGTACCTAAATTAGGCGCCTAAGGTTCAGAAATGTCAAACACTCAACTCCTGCATCAGATTAGTCTGGTTATCCAGCACCTATGAAGGTCAAACCACTTCCTTAGGTGCCCACAACTGAAAAATTTGGCACTAATGCCCAACTGGCAATTCTCACTCATTCAATTCAGGAGGAGAGACAATCCTTTAAGGAATTTGGTAAAGTATTTTCCCTCTGGAGAGGAAGAATTTTGCTGTGAAGTTAGTCTATCGTCCCAAGACCCCCATCAGCTTCAGCCCTAGCTCTATGCGCCTCCCAGTGGGTAGGGCACAGGCTGTTTGTCCTGAGTGGAGCAGTCTCCTGCAGCTGCAGCAAGCATGACAGAGACACTTGCAGCTCTGTGGCAGGGCTAAGTCTCTGGCTGCTGCAGGGAGTCCCCAACACTATTATTGTTGTTGTTACTATTTGTGACAGGTTTCAGAGTGGTAGCCGTGGTAGCCTGTATGAGCGAAAACAATGAGGAGTCCTTGTGACACCTTAGAGACTAACAAATTTATTTGGGCATAAGCTTCTGTGGGCTAAAACCCACTTCATCAGATGCATGGAATGGAAAATACAGTAGGGAGGTTTAAATTCATCTTTTCACATGCGGTGTGAGTTGCCTTACCAAGTGGGGGGTCAGTGCTAACGAGCCAATTCGATTAACGTGGAAGTGGGCTATTCTCCCTTCTTGTCAACTGTTGAGAATACCCCACTTCTACCTTAATTGAATTGGCTCCTTAGCACTGTTCCCCCCCACACACACACACTTGGTAAGGCAACTCCCATCTTTTCACATGCGGTGTATTTACACCTCTCTACTGTGTTTTCCACTCCATGCATCTGATGAAGTGGGTTTTAGCCCACAGAAGCTTATGCCCAAATAAATGTGTTAGTCTCTAAGGTACCATAAGGACTCCTTGTTGTTGTTACTATTTGTATTACCCTAGCACCTAGGAGCACCAGTAACTGCCCAGGACCACACGGTATGAACACAGATCACCCTCCCTGCCCCCATGGCAGGTGCGATCCCCAGGCTTACGCTGTACTCTGTTGATGAGCTGACGATATTGGTGCCGGAGCATCCTCCTGTCAGTGTGGTTCCCATCAGGCTCGGCTCTCTCGCTGCCCTGCCCGGGCTCCTCTTCCGACTCCTCTTCCTCCCCATCGCCCCCTTCGTTCGCAGCCTCCAGGGGGCGCTGACGGCCTTGGCCACCCACCAGCCTGCGCTGCTGGTGCTCGGGCACGGCCCCGTTGCGAGAGGTGGATGCGAAAGGCTGGCGGCAGCCTGAGTCCAGGCCCCTGCCCTGCAGGGAGTTGCTGCCGCGTCCAGCATCTTCAGACATCACCGCCTCGGGGCCTCCCCCTGTGGGTGGGACAGAAGGAGAGCATGAGCGGCCCTACACGTTCCCCACTCCCCCGGCCTCCTTCGGGCTCAGGCCCTGCCCTGCCCTCAGGGGCAAACACCTCCTCAGACCCTCCCCCTCCGCCGGACCCGAGAAACGTCGCCACCACCTCGGCTGACCCCCTCCACGCACTGAACCCCGCGTGCTACTGGCGCTGTGAGCGTCATGCGTT